GAAAAATATGCCTGGCCACGGTGGGAATCGAACCAACGACCTTTGGAACACTAGCCCAATGCTCTGCCAACTGAGCAACGCGGTCAGCCTGGTCAGGTCGGTTCGAGTATGCGATATTTCGGAACTGAGTCTAGTTCCTTCGATATCGATGTAATCTAGTAATCATGAATTTTTTCTGTCTTGGTGTAATGTACTCAGGTGAATATGATGCTTGTGATGTTACTCTGAGTGTATATCCACACCGCGGGCAAAGCCGTTGTCAGGAGTGACGACACCATCTAAAACTTCCGTGGGATTTTAATTGTTCATTTCTGCTCATTTTCTATTAGCCTTATTTCCTCGCTGCACGTTCGTCCTGCATGGTTGGTCAGCCCGTTGTTGAGGTTCTTATTAACAGTAGTTCTTTATAATTTTGAGAGTGTCAAATTTAAGGCTGTTTCTTGTCCTGTCCCCGTGTATAAAACGTTCTAAAATAATGTTCATTATTGCGAGCCATCCTATGTAAAATGATCTGGTGTTATAAAGGATTAGTACATGGACAAGGCTCTCATACATCTCTTCCTGATTTTTCTTTGTAATGTTCACCCAGCTGTTGAAATAAATGGTTCCCTATTCTAAGCATGCACGCGTATAGAATATACATCTTGGGCGTTCATCCAATGTTCATCACTGCGACCATCTTATGTAAAATGATCTGGTGTTATAAAGGATTTGGTGTGAGGAGAACTTTCATAGATCTCTTCCTGATTTTTCTTTGTTCACTCAGCTGTTGAAATAAATAGTACCGTAATTTAAGCATGCGTATAGAATATCTTGGACGTTTACCAATGGACTAGCACACCAAAGGTCAAGCACACCAAAGTAATGCTCATCATTACGAGTCATCTTATGTAAAATGATCTGGTGTTATAAAGGATTTATATTTGAGGATAACTCTCATTAAACTCCTCCCCTGTGAGGCAGTTAGTATCGCGAAAAACCCCCCAAATTTTATTAATCGTTTTAATTTCGATATTTTGTCAAATGCATGTGTATAGGCAAACAAGCTGAAAAATCGTCGAAATGTGTGGCAATCAAAGTTTGGCGTTCCTGTGTTAGATAACATTTTATCAAATATTTTGCATATCACAGCAATTTTTTTCATAGATTAGAGAGGATTAATAGGAGGAAGTAGCACTCAACTCATTCAAGTTCATGGAATTGCCATAAATGTGTTGATATTTAGATCTTGCCTGATAAGCCATTAAACTTCCTTTCCATGCAATGGCATTGGCCTATTAAACAACAGTGCCCTGTTATACTCTTTATGACGGGACCAGCTTTGTAACGGAACGGAATATGTGTGTATAAGGTGTCTACAGTATATACGGTGTATGCAATTCTTGCTGATATCGTGAGAGATGAAGAGAATTCTAAGATTGCTTTATGAAAAGAAAAGGTACACAATGACAGTTAAGAGTATTGGCTATTGCATTAACTAATCAGATTTATAGAAGTAGGAACAGTATGTTTTTAAGGCGTTGGACAATGGATATAAACTTCACTTGATATTCTTATAACTTGATTTGTGATTTGGTTGTTTATATATTGATTCTATTTGAATGGGAACTTGAAATTGTGTTGTGACAAGATCATGATAAAGCTATCGGATTGCATTTACATTAACTGCATGCATGGTTTTCTATATTTGTATATTTGTTACCGAAAGTAGGCTTATGCAGCTAAAATCATACTTTGCAGTTTAAACCCATTGCAGACTCGTATTTGCATGATCTTAAGTAATACTAGCTATATACCATCAAGTAATACTATATATCATCAAGTAATACCAAAATAATTCACATCGACAACTTGAAAAAAGTCGCTATACTCAGTCTCAGGTTATGCGCGGGAATAATATACCCCAGATTCCAGATTTGTTTCATTTTATATAATGCAACACTTTTGCAGGATTAAAGTCCCATGACTATCTATTGCATCTACTTGCATATACAAGCATATTCTGAATATTTATTTTGGCGATTAAAGTACATAGAAAGACGATGAGGCGATAAGAGAACGCATTTCACAATCACCATAAAAGGCAATTTAAATAGAGTATCCGTGTTACTGACTAACGGTGTAATATATATATATATATACTGTCATTATACTAATAGATGTGCCAATAGTCCTTTTAATTAAGCCAGTTTTCCACTATAAGCGAATTTGTTTGCGCACTTTGTCGGCATTTGTTGACCCGACCCGATAATGCCGACAAAGGAAAAAATCTCTTTCCCGCAGACAAATTCGTCTAGTGGAAAACATGCAGGCTTTAAAGAACAAGTCAATAAAAGTGGCGACGAGAGGCACATCAAGGAACAATAGGGCCATTTATACGGGACAAAATAAGTCGCGTCTTACATAAGACGCGTCTTATATAAGCTGAGTTATCGCATAAATGGTTCTCTACGGATTTATTCTTATTTACTTGCTATAGCTATAATGTTGTTTCGGTTGTTTTTGTTTGAATATGCAAGGCTAATAATTTTACGTTGTTTCAAGTTTCGGGCATGTGTAGTTAGAATTTTTGTCTAAAATTTCTTATTTAAGACGCGACTTAAATAAGAACAGCTAAAAGTCCTGTTCTTATGTAAGACGCGTCTTATCCAAGACGCGTCTTACATAAGAATTTTGTACCTTTTATACGACAAACACGCGTCTTATTTAAGTCGCGTCTTATGTAAGTCGCGTCTTATTTTGTCCTGTATAAATGGCCCTATTGTGCACTGGTAGAGGGAAGTCTGAGGGATCCTCACCTAGAATTTGTCGTATTTTTTAACCTCTTGATTTTAGTTCCTTCATTTTCGGACACAATATTTTTTGACATATTCCGCCCATAGTCTGAAACATTAGTATGAAAGCAAAGCAGGAATATTGACAGAAATATTGACAACACTTTTCTGTTCGCCCCTTTGCTTCTGCTTCTAACAACAGTAACAAGGGATCTTCATAGTGTCTGCATGTACATATATGGGAAGGTGAACAGCTTATAGTCCATGCAAAGGGCCGTGACAAGTGCTAGCTTGTGAAATTCCAGAATATATATAAGCTTAATCTACTTTGAGTACAGCTGAGCGGGGTTTAAATTAAGTCGACGAAAGATGTTGAAAAGTTTGGAAATGTTTAGGGTATATTGCATGAGAGTATTCTATTCTTTAGGCCACATAAAAAAAATAGTTGGTTAGCGTCCCCGCCCGCCCACAAAAAAGGCCCCGCTCAGGATTTTTTTTTATTTTTTATTTAAAACTTTCACCCGACATTTATTGATCAACGGGCTCTAATATATGTAGTATTTCTGTTGACTGTAGTCAATTGTGTTAATAATTTGCGAAATTGCATGCGAAAATGACGGTATGAATTATATTTTGAAATATATAAAAAAATATCTGTACTGCGCAAGAAAATCCAGTTTCGGACCTAACAGTGAGTAAAACCAAGGCGTTAAAAATTAGTAAAAATTTAAAAAAAAGCGCCCGCCCGCCCACTTTTTGGCAAAAGCTAAGGACGCTAACCAACTATTTTTTTTTATATGGCCTTAATCTGCAGCTAAAATTTTGGGTTAGCATAATGCAGAATGTACTGGTAATAATCCAAGATAGTATTTATATCATATACTGACTAATTGACAATATTAGAGCACAGTAAAAGGTGAACTGAACAGCATCACACTGAACAAATATATATTACTTGTTTTAGACTCTGCTGTCTCATTTTGCCTCAATGGTATGAGTTCAAGTCAGTCAAATAAACACGCCAAAAATCAAAGTATAGATGAAAATTGACACTAAATACCACGTGTGACTTGAAAGACCATGTTATAAAGCCCATCAAACAAATAGGTTTTATTCGATACATGCGATATTTTAGAAATAACAATTGGTTTGCTAAAATAGCTAAGTAATAACGTACCTTTACTTGCCGATCGATCATCCACATTGGTTTAAAAAATCGTTATTTTCTCGTTGTTGCCGTGCAAAGAGAACGTTGTTTTCAATAGCCTGCGAACATGAGGCTCTCAAGCTGAATTGAGAGCCTGCATCGTTGAATATCAACCTCATAAACATCTAAGTTGAATGTTTATGACGTTGAATATCAACGTCATAAACATTAAGTTGAATGTTTATGACGTTGAATATCAACGTCATAAACAACAAAGTTGAATGTTTATGACGTTGATGTCAACGTCATAAACATCTAAGTTAAATGTTTATGACGTTGAATATCAACGTCATAAACACCAGTATGTTGAATGTTTATGACGTCGAATATCGACGTCATAAACACCAGTATGTTGAATGTTCATGACGTCGAATATCGACGTCATAAACACCAGTAAGTTGAATGTTTATGACGTCGAATATCGACGTCATAAACACCAGTATGTTGAATGTTTATGACGTCGAATATCGACGTCATAAACACCACTAAGTTGAATGTTTATGACGTCGAATATCGACGTCATAAACACTTGTAAGTTGAATGTTTATATCGACACCATAAACACCAGTAAGCTGAATCTTTATGACGTCGAGTATCGACGTCATAAACACCAGTAAGTTGAATGTTTATGACGTCGAATATCGACGTCATGAACACCAGTAAGTTGAATGTTTATAACGTCGAATATCGACGTCATAAACACCAGTATGTTGAATGTTCATGACGTCGAATATCGACGTCATAAACACCAGTAAGTTGAATGTTTATGACGTCGAATATCGACGTCATAAACACCAGTATGTTGAATGTTTATGACGTCGAATATCGACGTCATAAACACCACTAAGTTGAATGTTTATGACGTCGAATATCGACGTCATAAACACTTGTAAGTTGAATGTTTATATCGACACCATAAACACCAGTAAGCTGAATCTTTATGACGTCGAGTATCGACGTCATAAACACCAGTAAGTTGAATGTTTATGACGTCGAATATCGACGTCATGAACACCAGTAAGTTGAATGTTTATAACGTCGAATATCGACGTCATAAACACCAGTATGTTGAATGTTCATGACGTCGAATATCGACGTCATAAACACCAGTAAGTTGAATGTTTATGACGTCGAATATCGACGTCATAAACACCAGTATGTTGAATGTTTATGACGTCGAATATCGACGTCATAAACACCAGTAAGTGGAATGTTTATGACGTCGAATATCGACGTCATAAACACCAGTATGTTGAATGTTTATGACGTCGAATATCGACGTCATAAACACCAGTAAGTTGAATGTTTATGACGTCGAATATCGACGTCATAAAAAACCAGTAAGTTGAATGATTATGACGTCGAATATCGACGTCATAAACACCAGTAAGTGGAATGTTTATGACGTCGAATATCGACGTCATAAACACCAGTAATTAGTTGAATGTTTATGACGTCGAATATCGACGTCATAAACACTTGTAAGTTGAATGTTTATATCGACGCCATAAACACCAGTAAGCTGAATCTTTATGACTACTCGACGTCATAAACACCAGTAAGTTGAATGTTTATGACGTCGAATATCAACGTCATAAACACCAGTAAGTTGAATGTTTATGACGTCGAATATGGACGTCGTAAACACCAGTATGTTGAATGTTTATGGCGTTGAATATCAACGTACTATCACTTGAAAGTTGAATGTTTATGACGTTGAATATCAACGTACTATCAAAGTTGAATTGTTTATGACGTTGAATATTAACGTCATAAACATCTAAGTTGAACGTTTGTTGTCCTGTATGCATTTGCAGCTTTCGTATTGACAGTTCTCAACTGCAGAGATGGCAAGACGGATTTAATCCTCATTCCAGTTTGCATGTTGAGTTTTGCGTACACAGTTCCTGACCATCCCAAATAAAATAAAAGTTGCTTTGATTTGTGGCATGGACTAAGAGCATAAAATATATGACTATGAACTTATGATAAATTATAGAATGAAAGTACGTATTGTTTCAATCGGAAATATAAGCCCTTTTAAATTTCCCAAGCAGGAGAAAGTGGTATTAAATCAGAAATTGAGGACTTCAATATAACAGATAGTACTGACTATGCAGGGTTTGTACGGCAAAATTTGAATGTCCTTGAATTTGAAAACAAAAATTCAAGGCCTTGAATGTCTTGGAATTTGTAAAGAAGTGGTTGAAATCCTTGAATTCTTCTTGCTTTTATAGCTTATGGATATTTTCTGAAATTGTTTGACATTCAAAAACGGACATTTTGTTGAACTGACAAAACTGTTTGAAATTTATTAAAGTTGCGTTTTGAACAATTCAACGTCACATTTTACTGATTTCTAACGGCTTTTCTTCAGCGATTTAGTGCTTGAATTTGCTGGTACATGACCTTGAATCAGTTGAATGGCCTTGGAAAGTCCTTGAATTTGACTCTCTCTGACATGCACGAACCCTGATAATGAATTAGCTTTCTTTAGTTTTGTCTTGAACTTTCGTATTGCTTTTAATATTGACTGATATACTTTCTGTGGACGACTGAAATGGCATAATAGACCAATCAATTACAGGCTGGATCGTATAGCACCTCAGCCAATCAGAACGCGCGATTTAAATGACGTAGGCTTGCTGCGTAATTAAAATGTGAAGTGAAGTTGCTTTATTATTCATTAAGTTGATATATTTTAATTAAGTTTATATGTTCATCACGTTCATTCAAAAATATAACTACCAGAAAAGCTATATACAACCAATAGACCCTTTCAAGCGATTGCCTGTTGGACACTCACTTCCGGTCGAAGGGCCCTCGCCGGTGACATTGAAATACTTTCTATAATTTTTGAGCCTTTAGCCAATTTCATGAATGTTTTTTTAATAACTGCTAGTTACATTTGAAAACAACGTCTGAGAAGTTATCTTAATTAGGATCTATCTTCATTAGTAGTCGGGTCGGGCTAACCACGAAAATCTAGTTGACAGATCCTGTTCTAGTGTTCTGTGAACTAAGCCACTTTACTTGGGCACAACAATACTGTGTGACACCTTGTTTTGAAGCAATTTGTTTAATATACTCGAACTACACATCACGCTGACTTCTAATAGATTTAATTATTAAATTTTCGTATGTCGGCGTGAAGTTTTAATGAACCGTTACCCACATACGAAACTTCAACCCGCGGTGTATATAAATACAAGGCTATTTAGTTCAACTATAAAGGGAGATTTTATCAGAGCTATATAGGAGGTCTTTTTGGTACGTGATGTGTCGATGAATTTTCTTGCGACCGTGAATATAAATTTGAACGTATGTGTATATAGTTGTACATATGTGCATGTATACATGTGCAGTGAGTGTTTTTATTTTTTTAATTTGTTGCTTAAATGATGTATGTTTGAATGTAACTATTTGGTGTATTCTGTGAATGTTTATATAAAATGAAGAATAAAGGACAAAGGTGGTATTGATTTTAGGTAACATTTATTTCAACAGCTGAGTGAACTCAGATAGATCAAGAGGGGATTTATGAGAATTGTCCTCATATATAGGTATTTTACAACACTAGATCATTTTCCATAAGATAGCTTACAATAAAGAACACTGACATTCAATACCCATGCTTAACATTGGATAACATTTATTTCAACAGCAGCTGAGCCTGATTAAGTGGGATAGAGCAGCAGAAGAAACATATGAAGAGAGCGGTTCTCCTTACATAAATTCTTTACATCACGTTCCTGCAATATCATTGCTTGTTAGGACTGAGCGATTGATCTGGTTGGGTAACCCTTCTCGCTTTGAAAAATATTTCACTCTTTCCTCAGATTGAAAGTGAGGAAAATTTTAAGGCATTGAGTTAAGTGTAAATATTATATAGGACGCTCTTCTTTCGCATTCCTGCATTTCATGCAAATATTTCCAAATCTTTACCTTTAGGGATGTTTATCGCGCTTTGCCAAAAAAAACTTTAAATTTTTAAAACTAACCGCATCAGGAAGTGATACATCCTAGCTTTTTGAAAGGTTCTGGAAATGCATTCGGGAGTTAAAGGGCTTACTTTATAGTATAAACACCTCTTGGAATCTTCTCCGTTAGTCAACTCAAGACGCGCGAAGATCGAAAGTCATGGGTACTCCGGTTTCCAGCCGCAGGGGATTAGCACACCCCACTCACTTACTTTCTTGTACTGGGTGGGTGGGGGGCAAGTCTCCATGTATTCCTGTGGCCCACATCCACCCGTGTTATCCGGCAGAAGAGAAATAATTGCTGTTTCCAATTATTTGTTAATTCACGTTAATTGTCGAAGCTTTTATTGTATTTTCAGGTAGTTTATCAGTAATTATGATTGCAGCGAGAAAATTTAAAATAACATACACATTACAACGGTTTCCAATAGATTAAGTTTGAAAGAGCGAGTCGTGTGGAACCTTTTGATACTTTAGAAAAAGCAAAACGATGCATGGATGCAATCAAAAGTACTGGCAATGTCGTCAGGTTCAACATCTTGTATAAATTTCACAATATCAAAGCTAACCGTTAATACCCTATATAAGGCCCCCCTAAGCTTTCCTAGCTCGGTAAATTAACTATGCCCAAAATGGCAGCGTGTTCTCAAAATTTTGACTACATTCTCTAATGTTAGATCTAAACTTATCAAACTTTTTAACTAAAAAATATAACCTCAGTGAATGATTCCAGATATGTTGACTAAATTTTGATCTAGGCAAGAAGAACAAAATCCATCAACACAGCTAGAAAGAGCATGTTAAAATTAATTGAATTGCAAAGTTTGGTTGCGAAATATTGTAAAATGAGGAATACATAGCCCTACGAAATTTGCAAATTTTGTATCAATTTGTATTACGCACGGGAAAATGCACCACTTTCGGCCCAAATGTGGCGTGTTTACACTGATTTCACAACCAAACTTTGCACTGAATTTTACTAATTTTAACATGCTCTTTCTAGCTGTGCTGATGGATTTTGTTCTTCTTGCCTAGATCAAAATTTAGTCTAGAGCTGAAATTGCCTATTATGATCGAACAGAACCTATTTATATGCGCAGTAGTTATGTGCAATATTTGTGAACCGTCTGCGCATGTCCATAAATAATGATTTGCCAAAACTATGACACACTCGTGAACATAAAGTCATGACTTGCATATAGATTTCAGATTTTTTATATTAAATATATCTTCGTTTGTTTACAACGTTTCATCGCGTGCGTGCAGCTGTAAGCATGCAAATAATATGCGATAAATGTCTGTAATACAAAAGTAATTTTGAGATTTTTCCGAT